AGAAGATCCAGTTAAAGTAATGTAGCATTACATCTATTGTTACTAACATGTGAATTGAATGATTTTATCATTGGTTTAAACTTTATTTTGCCTCATTTTTAGCTTTTATGATAATAATATTATGATGATGATGAATACAAAACAAATAATTGAACCCCAACATGAAAATGATTATTACTGGGCTGCCTGTGGCAGGTCCAGTCGTAATTTCAGTTTTCAGTTGTCTACATAGAAAAACGAACACCCAGGGGAGGGAAGACACAAGGTCTGGGCACATACTTATCTTTTTATGGAGATGTAAGCTAAAGCCACTGCAAAATGAGAACTTAAAAAAGCCTATAATCAATTTATCTCAAAACATAATACACATGACCAGTATTTTCCTAATTTTTAATGTGTTTTGGATACGAGCCAACACTGTAAAATTAATGTAAGGGGCAAAAACAGTATAATATGAGTGAACCATAGGGTTCTAATTAAAATAGGGCTCAATTATTGTACAGTAAGATGAATAGCTTGAACCAAAAACAATTATTTCAGAGATTGTGTACATGTGATCCGAAGTAAACAAGTTCATGAGCACATAGTGCGTTTACAGTGTGTTTTGTTCAGTCTTTTCTATACCCAACGACTATGAATAATATTTCGATATTGTTCAGCTGCCACAAAAATTCAGAGGAGTTATAAAGCCCATTAATTTTCCACCATGAAAAAAAGTTAGTCACGGGTGAGACAAACAATGAACTTGAGCAAATTTTCAAATCATATTAGCATTACGGTAAAAAAAATGTGTCAGCGATCGTTTCATCTATTTACACTGTTTTTAAAAGTGCGTGCCAATGAAATCAACATGCAAGCGAGAAATCTCTTTTATGTCACAAAATAAGGATTTAATACCTTCACGTTGATGAAAAATAACAAGGGAAGAATCATAAAACTGATGAAAACTGTAGACTGCAAAATTAATTAGGATAGTCTATTTTAAGTCTCAGTCCAATCAATGAGCCCTGTGGATCAGGATCAATGGGCAGATGACTGTCTGTTTTAGTAACCTTCTCGTTTTCACACAAAATACATTATTCCTGTCTAGTGTAAGCAGCCCAGTGAATTCTCCTTTTGGCAAGTCTAGTTCTTTTATACTTTATGTTAATTAGTTGGTACAGGATTTGTGATACTTCTGATTATTTTTATGGATACTGACAATGTTTGATATTTGTCTCTGGGTAAATTTTTCCCTTTTCATACAGAATTTTCATGAACGGGTTCTTGAGAAAGCAGACATCATTCAAGCAACAGGAGATGCCATTGTCACGCTACCTGATGTGGCCTGCCTCACACCAAGGTACTGTTGTTCAGTTATCTTGACAACACTGCAGACCTCCATACCTGATAACATAGACTATATTTAACATGGTGATGATAATTAAATGGACAGCTATATGAATGATGGTTTTTAGCTTGTAGGATATTTTTATTTATTTATTTATTTATTTTTTGTGACACTTTTATCAAATCATTTTTACCCATGGTTTTTTTTGGGGGCGCAAATAATAATATTGTGTAATTGTTGCTACATATTTTAGTCGATGCTGTGGCTGGATACAGTTTGTCGCTCAGCCAAAGCTTTTAATTTTTTCTCTGGGTATCCAGACCTTGGTACTGCCATAATAATAATAATAATAATAATAATCGTATAGCTAATATCCTGCAGAAGGTGTTTTTTGTCAGAGAGAACAATTTATGACAAGAGTTCCAGTACCAATGTTTAGTGTGAGAAATAGAGGGTAATAATAATAGTAATAGTAATAATACAACTTTAAATTGCCCTCTCCCTGTATGGAGCTTTTCAGGGATAGTGAAACAAATAATTTAAATGTAATATAACATGGTTAAAAATCTCAACTGATAGGAAGGGAACCAGTCAGCTATTTTAAAAGTGTGGCTAACGATTTGAGCTTGATACTACCAAAACCAAATCCAGCTAGTGGTCAGGGTGGGACTAGAACTTGGGGCCTCAGAATTACAGTGGAACCTCCTCTTAGAGACACCTCTATTCAAGAGACTCTTCCATTCAGGGGACACAAAATTTGGTCCTGGAAAACGCCCTCATAATCTTGTTACCTCTGTTGAAGGGACACTTCTATTCAAGGGAAAAGGACACATTTTCTGGGTCCCAAAACCTGGGTTTGACCTCCATTCAGGGGACACCTTAGCACTCAAAACGTAACTGACCACTACTGCACTGGTGTGAATTCAACTTATAATGTCGCAGAGATGGGTTTATGATGATTTTGATTTTTTTGTATTGTCTTTGTTGGTTAACTATTATCAAACCCCAGCCTGTCCTCTATTCAGAGGACACCTCTTTTCAAGGGACACTTGCCTTGGTCCTAAGGGTGTCCTCTGAATAGAGATTTCACTGTACAAGTCCAGTGCTCTAACCACTTGGCCACTTTCTCTTGATTCCTCACATAATCACATAGTCAGCTATATCCCAAGGACACATAATATCACAGAGACTCTTCAGTACCTCCATGAAGCTTCTGACCAGATTTTGGATCTAGTTCATCTAGGGTTTTATTTACTTGCTATTTTTTGTTTGCATACAGCTTTTTATTTCACATTATGAATGGACCCACCATCTCCCTCTCTTTTTGTCACCCTCAAAGTTTGTTTGTCACGTTTAGGTTCCCTTATTTATGTAAAGCCAAGTGCAGTAACCATGAGCGTTGTTAAGTACTTTAAACATTAACTGAAATGCATGGAGATTGAACAAAGAATAATTTCTCATTCAGATGTCTAATGTCATGTCCTTTTTCCTAGGGGTCGATATTCAATGAAAGTGTTTCCATCCTTTCTTCAACTTCATGGCAAGACCTATGACTACAAGATCCCTTACACGTCAGTGTTGCGGCTTTTTCTCCTCCCACACAAAGACCAAAGATTTATGTTTTTTGTGGTAAGGAAGTGTATTCTAATAAAGTTTCTTAATTAAACTAGGTCAAATTGTCACTGGGGCTGTTAGGAGTGAACAGTGATGAGTCTAATTTAAATTCTGTTTTTAAGCTTTTTGTAGTAATAACTGTTCACGTCTTTACTTGTGAAATAATATTATTATAATGCAACATGTGTCAATGACACAGGAAGGACTGAACTACCAGCTTTTGAGTCTAAAATAGAATTCATTGCTGCACCACTTACATGTATTACCTGTTGAAGCTGTTGGCACAGCTCAAAGGAGGTTATAAGTGACAGTAAAGTGATTCTTAATTATCACAGGTTAGTATGGATCCTCCAATCAAACAAGGCCAGACAAGATATCCATTCTTGATTATACAGTTTGGAAAGGATGAAGAATTTGATGTAA